GCATGTGACAGATGGATGTATCCATATGTGCTCACATGTTTGCAAACCATAGTGTACATATGTGTATATGTGCACACCTTCTCTATGCTCATACATGCTCATGTGTCTGTGTACACAGTGTGCATGTGTGTATGCACGTGTTTGGTGCGTGTGGGTGGACAGATGTGCTCACACATGCTCATGTGTCTGTGTACACAGTGTGCATGTATGTATGCATGTGTGTGGTGCATGTAGGTGGACAGATGTGCTCACACATGCTCATGTGTCTGTGTACAGAGTGTGCATGTGTGTATGCACATGTTTGGTGCGTGTGGGTGGATGAAGGTGCTCACACATGCTCATGTGTCTGTGTACAGAGTGTGCATGTGTGTATGCACGTGTGCAGTGCGTGTGGGTCGATGGATGTGCTCACACATGCTCATGTGTCTGTGTACACAGTGTGCATGTGTGTATGCACGTGTTTGGTGCGTGTGGGTGGATGAAGGTGCTCACACATGCTCATGTGTCTATGTACACAGTGTGTATGTGTGTATGCACGTGTGCAGTGTGTGTAGGTGGATAGATGTGCTCACACATGCTCATGTGTCTGTGTACAGTGTGTGCATATGTGTATGTGTGTGCGCGTGTGCAGTGCATGTGGGTGGACAGATGTGCTCACACATGCTCATGTGTCTGTGTACACAGTGTGTATGTGTGTATGCACGTGTTTGGTGCGTGTGGGTGGACAGATGTGGCCACGCATACTTATGTGTCTGTGTACACAGTGCTTCCGGGGGTTACTGACGCTGAATATGGAGGGGAAATTAGGGTAATATTGTCTTCACAAAAGTTTTGGGGTTTTGTTGTTGTTGCTGTTGCTTCTCTGTCAGGAACATTCTCAGATCAGGCATGAAAAAAGGGGACAAAGTGGGTTCAGGTGTACTTCCACGAAAGGAAATATTTTGGACACAAGCTATTCCTCCTGACCAGCCCTGGTATGAAAAAAAATAAATGGGAGGGGTTGTCATTTCTCCATTTGATAGGTTTTATTTTTTGGTCAAATATCAGTTGACCATAGATAGATGCGTCCATTTCTGGGTTCTCAATTCTGTTCCATTGGTCTATGTGCCGTCATTGTACCAGTACCACGCTGTTTTAGTTACCACTGTTGTGTAGTAGGTTTTGGGGTCAGGGATTGCTATGTCTCCCACTTCATTTTTGTTTTTCAGAAGTGCTTTGCTCATTCAGGATCTCTTTCTTCTCCAAATAAACTTGACAATTTCCCTGAAAATGGAATTTGGTATGTGTATTGGGTTTGCGTTAAACAAGTAGAGTGCTTTTGGCAGGATTGTAATTTTCACATATTGAGTCTTCTCTCCAGGAACAGGGAATATTTTCCCATTTACTTATGTCTTTTTTGTGTCTCATAGAAAGGTTCTGTTGTTTTCTGTACAGGCCTTTTGTGTCTCTAGGTAGATTCACTCCCAAGTATCTCAATTTGTGGTTGGCTATTGTAAATGGTATTGCTTTCTTGGTTTCCATCTCTGAGTTCTCTTTGTTATTGTAGAGGAATCCCACTGATTTTTGGATATTGATCTTATATCCTGACACTGTATAAATTGGCCTACTAGCTCTAACAGGTTTTTTTGTTTAGTCTTTGGGGTTTTCTGTGTACACTATCATATCATCTGCATATGTTGTTGTTGTTGTTATTAAGTGCTGTCAAGTCGCAGGCGACTCATGGTGACCCTATGAAGGAGAGTCCTCAACGCTTGTGTGTCTTTCATCCTCTCTCCAGGCTCATAGGGTTTCCAGAGGCAAGCTATTACA